CATCTATGTATGCAAAGCTGAGGGGACTGTTTCATATTCTTAATGCTTATGTAAGAAAGGGAGATCCTAGCTTTCCCTCAAGACTCAGCACTACTGTTTCTGTCTGTAGCAGATGCTCTGGTCAGATTCCAGACCAGAATCTCCTTCGCTTACCACCTTATGGCCTTGAGCAAATTTTCTCAGTATCCTAACTGGTAGAATAATGTGTCCGTATCAGGGTCCCAGGTCATAGGAACTGTTTCTGCTGACATCCATTTTTACTATTGCCCTTGTACATATGAATTACCTTTATTTTTGAATTTGCATTTTTATCAGTACCGTCTAGTCAGCACAGACTTATTTTCTAGCTGGTTTAGTTATAATGTTAGTTTATTACTTCTTTCTCACTCATTCAAGTCATTTAGGGTAGAGTCTATTACTTCCATTTATTTGACATACTTTTGTACAGCTTATCACAATGTTGGCTGGAAGACAATGTTTTTTTGCCAACATTAGATTTTTTTCCCCTCTCTTTTCTATTTAAGTAACTATATTTCTAATGGTTGTAGCTCCATGAAGTGCTGGAGAGGTAGATATGGAAGGAACCCTGGAACTTGCTGGCTTGTCTCAAAGGAGGTAGACAGCCTTCCAGAGGGATGCCAACCATGGCTGTCCTTCTGCCTCCGTATGCATCATGCATACCCTATCACATGCATGCACACACATATACAGACACAAGGGTCCATAAAACATGCATGGGATTGTTTTAAGAGTAATGGGCAAGAGTATAGAATAATTTGCATTACTACAAAGACTGTGTTGGATACTTTTATATTGCATTGAAATTGATGATATGAGTAATTTTTACCCTAAGTTTAGAATTCTAGATTATGTTACTAGCAATAATAATATTAATGCTATAATTATTGCAAACAATAATATAATGTTCAGCAATGTATTATAATTTATAGCAATGTATAATTATAGCATTATACTATAATTTCTTAATAATATTAATAATAATTTTTAATGCAAGGTATTGCCTATAAATAATAATTGGTAAGTGACCTTTTAAAAATCCCCATTCTCGGGTTAGAGGTAACACCAAACAGTCAGGTTGGAGAATTACTGTCCTAGACAGCTGGATTCTCCAGAATCTTCACCTAGGACAGCCAGCTTACACTGCAGTCAAGTAGTAGGTGATCCGGACACTGACCGACTCTCTGAGAGCTATAAGGAATGAGGGCATGCTTGACCATGAATCCTATTACCAAGGCTTTGAAATCCTCTCTGTTCCGTTCATTTCCTCTCCCACATGATGATGGTTGGAACTTTTGTTTGACTTTGTGGCCAGACTGACTCTTGCAGCTGTGCCATATCTGCGCATTGGGTACCTGCTCCATGCCTGACGGGGAGGAGAGTAGCAGTTACTGAGTCACGGCTCCTGAGTCTGCTCTGGGCTCTCGTCCCTGGGAGTCTCATGTTCTCCCTAACTTTGTGGTTTCTCTGGCTTGATAAATTTTGTCTGCGATGCAGCTTTAAAAAAATTGAAATGAGAAAAGAACATCATTTTTACATTGCAAAGCTATCCTATTTCTATTTCTTGGGTCAGCTGTAACCTATTCCATCAACTTTCTACTGAGAAGATTCTGTTTCACTTGTGAAAGAAATGCATGGGTTGTGTTTCGTACCACCTTTCATTTTAAAGTTAATTTGTGTATTTAAACAGAAAATACTTCTTGACTATCTGTAACGGTCAGATACTGTGCTATCTGCTTGGATACAAAGATTAAGGTGGAGTCTCTCAATGGATGATGTGGGAATAAAGTCACATGCTGTGATGTAAGGACAAGTGGATTGCCGTAACATATGGGACAGGCACCTACCCAGTCATGGGGCTGGAGCAGTGTGTGGGCAGGGAAGTCTTCAAGGGCGTGTGTGATTGACATATCATTAGGTCCACCATGCTGACTTCTTTTCCAGTTTATCCAAGCTGGATCGACCCTTCCCTTGAAAAGAACATAGGAGTGAGACTATCGGAGATGACGGGACATATACTTCTATGTGTGGTGACCGGCACTCGGAGCTCAGACCCAGTAGACACATTAGGGAGAATGAGAGGCCAGATTGTGCTGAACTTCAAAATGGATTCTGAGAGTTGCATTTCTCTGGAGTCTGATGGGAAGCTATGAGAGGAAAACAAGCAGGAGATTGGGACAACCATGTGTACCTTTCTTTTTAAATTGTTTTTGTTGATATATTTTTTTCTCCACTTAACTCCCTTCCTCTCCCCTCCCTTCTTACCCTCTGCCATGGTGCCCAAGCTCCCAATTTACTCAGGAGATCTTGTCTTTTTCTACTTCCCATGTAGATTAGATCCATGTATGTCTTTCTTAGGGTCCTCTTTTTGTCAAAGTTCTCTGGGATTGTGAATTATAGGCTAGTTTTTCTTTGCTTTATGTCTAAAAGCTGCGTATGAGTGAGTACATATGATATTGGTCTTTCTGGATCTGGGTTACCTCACTCAATATGACATTTTCTAGATCCATCCATTTGCCAGCAAATTTCAAGACGTCATTATTGTTTTCTTCTGTGTAGTACTCCATTGTGTAAATGTACCACATTTTCCTAATCCATTCTTTAGTCGAGGGGCATTTAGGTTGTTTCCAGGTTCTGACTATGACAAACAATGCTGTTATGAGCATGGTTGAGCACATGTCCTTGTGGTATGATTGAGCATCCTTTGGGTATATACCCAAAAGTGGTATTGCTGGATCTTGAGGAAGGTTGTTTCCCAATATTCTGAGAAATTGCCACACTGACATCCAAAGATGCTGTACCAGCTTGCATTCCCACCAGCAATGCAGAAGTGTTCCCTTTACCCCACATCCTCTCCAGCATAAGTTTTCCTCAGTATTTTTTATCTTGACCATTCTTACAGGTGTAAGATGAAATCTTAGAGTTGTTTCGATTTTAATTTCTCTGATGGCTATGAATGTTGAACATTTTTTCAGTGTCTTTCAGCCATTTTAGATTTCTCTGTTGAGAGTTCTCTGTTTAGGTCTGTACCCCATTTTTTTATTAGATAATGTGTTCTTTTGATGACCAATTTCTTGAGTTCTTTGTATATTTTAGAGATCAGACATCTGTATGATGTGGGATTGGTGAAGACCTTTTTTAATTCTGTAGGCTGCAGTTTTGTCTTGTTGACCGTGTCCTTTGCTTTACAGAAGATTTTAAGTTTCAAAAGATCCCATTTATTGTTTCTCTCAGTGTCTGTGCTTCTGGGGTTACATTTAGGAAGTGGTCTCCTGTTCTAATGTGTTCAAGTGTACTTCTCATTTTCTCTTCTTTGGGGTTCAGTTTTGTAGTTGGTTTTATGTTGAGGTCTTTGATCCATTTGGACTTGAGTTTTGTGCACGGCAATAGATATGTATCTATTTTTATTCTTTTACATGTTGATGTCCAGTTATGCCAGCACCATTTGTTGAATATGCTTTCTTTTTTCCATTTTATATTTTTTGTTTCTTTGTCAAAAATCAGGCGTTTTTAGGTGTGTGGATTGATATCCGGGTCTTTGACTCAGTTCCATTGGTTCTTCTGTCTGTTTTTGTGCCAATACCAGGCTGTTTTCAGTACAGCAGCTTTATAGTAGTGTTTGAAGTGAGGGATTGTGATGCCTCCAGAATTCCTTTATTGTAAAGGATTGTTTTGGCTATCTTGGGTTTTTTTTACTTTTCCATATGGATTTGAGTATTATTCTTTCAATATCTGTAAAGAATTTTGCTGGGATTTTGACAGGCATTTCATTGAATCTGTAAGTTGTTTTTGGTAAGATTGCTGTTTTTACTATGTTCATTCTACCTACCCAAGAGCATGGGAGATCTTTCCATTTTCTGGTGTCTTCTTTAATTTCTTTCTTCAAAGATGTAAAGTTCTTATACAGGTCTTCCACTTGTTTGGTTAGAGTCACTCCAAGATATTTTATGTTACTTGTGGCTATTGTGAAGGGTGATGTTTCTCTGATTTCTCTCTCAGCTTGTTTATCATCTGTGGAAATGAGGGCTACTGATTTTTTTAAATCTTGTATCCTGTTACATTAAAAAAGGTATGAAGGTAATTTATGAGTTCATGTGTTGTAGAAGTACTTTGATAGATTTTTTGGGGGGGTCACTTATGTAAATTATCATATTATCAGCAAATAGTGAGAGTTTGACTTCTTTACTGATTTGTATCCCCTTGATCTCCTTTTGTTATCTTATTTCTCTAGCTAGAACCTCAAGTACCATATTGAATAGAATGGAGAGAGTGGACAACCTCTGTTACATTGTCGTATTGTTGTTTATGAGAACATTGTGTTATACATATTTCTGTTTTCTTTATATACTTGTATAGCTTATTCATTATTTTTTCCATTTTTGCTAAATCAGACTATTTTCTGTGTATACCATTGTTAATTTATTCGTCCATCTCCTGGAATAACTTCTAGTCACTTCTGAGTGTTAGAAATGAACAAAACTGCTTCAAAGATTTGTTTTTATGTCTGTGAATGCAGGCTTCATTTCACATGGGCGAGCGGTAATAAAGCCAGCACTATGTGTTATGGTCATAGTATTTTCAATTCTACGAGAAAATTGTCTTCTAAAGGAACTGAAGAGTTTTTATCCTCACCAGCAGGCAGTATTGTCCATGTCGTTGGGTTGTTCTGATGCCAGTAGATGCCATGTTGTTGTTTTGGTTTGCAGTTTGCAGCAGTGTTGAGCATGTTTGTATGCTAATTGCCACATGTATTTTTTTTTTGGTACAGAATCTCTTCAAGTATTTTGTCTATTTTCTAAATAAGTTGTTTTCATATTGTTGAGTTTTTCGTCAGTCTTACTTGTGTTAAAATTAAGAGAACTCTTTTGTTACAGAGGATCGAAGGCATCCACCAAATGTCATTAGGTTTGGGTGGGTAGTAAACCTAATTTGGGGACTGTTTCATTTTTTTTTTGTAACATCCCTCCCTTTCTGTCTTGCAGGGATCATGTCTGACCACCAGTTTGGTAACCAGTTTATGTGCAGCGTGGTGGCCTCTCATGTGAGTCACCTGCCGACAACCAACCTCAGCTTTGTCTGGATCGCTCCCCCAGCTGGCACAGGCTGTGTGAATTTCATGTGAGTACCTAATGTGGATGTGGAAACATGGGGGGCAAATACTGCCTTTAGTGTGTGGGGCAAATACTGCCTTTAGTGTCAAGGGGCAAATACTGTCTTTAGTGTGTGGGGCAAATACCACCTTTAGTGTGGAGGGGCAAATACTGCCTTTAGTGTGGGGGCAAATACTGCCTTTAGTGGACTCACATAGAGTGCTTGTTATGTCTGCAGGTAGACTTCAATTAAAATCATTAACTGCAGCATTAAAATGAGGCAATGCTAGTTTGTAAAGTAGTTAATTTCCAATTATTTTTTGTTTTCTTTTGATTTTGTTTTTGTTTTTCAGGACAGGATTTCTCTGTGTAGCAACTCTGGCTGTCCTAGCACTCTCTTTGTAGATCAGGCTGGCCTTGAGCTCACTGAGATCCTCCCGTCTCTGCCTCCCATGTGCTGGGATTAAAGGCGTGTGTCATCATTGCTTGGCATTTCAACTAAGATTTGGTTTGCATATTTATTTATAAACTCCGTAGTTATTCAGTTCCAGCTAACAACAATGCTTTATAGACTAGAAGTCAGTGAGCAGGTAGGAGGAAGAAGAAGGGGAATGGTGAGAAGTTAAGATGTCGCTGAAGATGGGGGTTACATAGTGCAGGGTTGCAGCTGTATGAAAACCTCACCTCATGTGCTTCCCCTGGCTGCAGGGGTTGTAGCCCTAGTATGTTCGCTCTGTCTTTGGTAGAACACCATGGCAGCAGGAACAGGCAGCATGGAAAATTATACAGTTTGTTGAAGGAGTTGGGGATAATAATGAGAATATGAGAATGACGAATGTCCTTCAAAGTCATGTCCCCAATACCCTGCTTTCTTTCACTAGCTTTTACCTTCTAAAGTTTCTACAACCTTCCCACAGAATGCCACTTTCCTGGGGACCAAGCCTTCAACGCATACACCTATAGGAGATACTTTAAATGAAAGCCACAACTTTAGGCATTTAAAGCCATAGGCTCCCATTCTGCTTTCTTCTTCCTTTTGTGATTTTTAATGCATTACCTAATGTCTTAGAACACATGGAATGCTAGCTGTGAAGACATTCAGTGACTGGCACCTAACTTAGCGTGTGCACGGTCTTTGTAAGGCTGATGGACTTGATAGCACACGCAAAATTTTAACCTCAGCACAGCCAATCTCTGGTGAAATTTTCATAGTTTTAAACCAAGTCACTCACTTTGAAACATTTTAAAAATTTTGCACCAAGAATTCAATACATTTGAGCTGAAATTCAAGGCAATTCTATAATGTGTTGTGGGTACCTTTCCAGTAAGTAATATAGGCTGTCTGAAGGGCCAGATAGTTACAAATGCAGCACACGGGCTGCGCTTACAGTCTTCCTTGTTTAAAAATCGTCGAGTGGGAGACAGAGGTGAGGCACGGTGAGGACGAGGGAGAGGTTGAAGGATCAGCTGTGGTGATCCACACAGACAGGGGTGACCATGAGCTTAGCATCGCTGTTTGTCACCTATTGATGACTCCGCCTAGCTGGTGTCGTCTCGTTTCCTCAATCTGTGTCTTATTGCTGTCCTGTTTATCTCAAACTAATAAACCTCAAGAAGAAAAGGGTGTGTAAGAGAGGAGTGAGGGTGAGCACAGGTAGGGACAGGAAGGAAGGATTCAAGGATAAAGCAGGAAAGCGAAGGAGGGACAGAAGAAGACAGAAGAAACCTTCGAGCCTTTTAACCTTAGAAATGATTGAAAAAGCCATCAGGGAAATAACAATGTTTAATTTACCTTATGCACGCCGTTCATCTAATTTAATCTAGTAATTCTCACAACAATGGAGCCCACTTTAGAGAATTACTCTCACTTTATAGATGGGGACATTGGAGTACAGAAATGTTGGATAATGAGTCTTAAGTCACTGTGAGCAAAACAGCCTGAGATAAAAGTGATTTTTTTTCCACTGCTCTTACATGTAAGGTGATCACTTTTCTATTTTATTAAAGAGAATAATTATACCCATACCATTTAAGTCACATAGAATCTGCAGTGCAGCATCGGAACCTTTTCCACGTGTCTGCAGGTGTGGCCCACGGTTGGAAATATGCACAGTTACCCATGTCATCCAGACACCCAGACCAGCAGCACAGTTTCCCAGCTCAGCCAGATACCAAGAGGCACAAAAACTGAAAACAAAATGAACTGAGATATTTTCTATCTAAGATAAACTTGGATCAGCAAAGAGGGACCTGGGAGGGACCATACTTGATACTCCCAAGGAAATAACTTCTAGGGTGGTTGCTTTCAAAGAACTCTAAACAACAAGCGCAAAGATCATTTGAAGAGTTGAAGACACTAGCAGTTTCTGAATGCCTGTCAGGCTTGAGGTGGAACTGATACAGAGTTCTGGAACACTGCCTTGACTGTAGCCCGGATGCTTTTAACTTTTGATGGAAGCCATTCCAGCCTGCCTGGAGAATCCCATGAGAAAAATGGTAGTTGGATGTCCATTTATTTCTATCCATCAAAAGGAAATCCCACACTAATATCCGCTTTGTTACTTAAACACCTGAAATAAGGCAGTGACCCTACATCCCTGTCTGCTGGGAGTTCATTTGTGCCGCCAATGAGGGTGTCAGCAGTTGATACATACAGATTCTGCCTGGACCTCAAGACTACATGCAGTTTGCTGCAGGGAATACATTATCTCTTCCGTAAGTCTGAAATGATGTATCCCTACTGTGAGGTCAACTAGCTACACTGTTTTCTGAATAAGGAATTTCATCTGTAAATCTCAATTCTCTTTTTCCCCCCTGACGGTCTGATTTTCTTTTTTTATACACATCCTCCAATTTGAGACAATTATTTTCATGCTGCTTAGAAATGTACCTGTGAATGACAGGATAAAAACGTATATTATTCATCTGTAGAGGGAAAGGTGGGGAGCCTGGCTGTGGTTCGCACCTCCCGCCGGCCCTTGCTTTTTATCAGAGTCACACAGCCAATTAGGCTGCACAAGGTGACAGTCTAGCGTGTGCTCTCAGAGATCAGCACCTTGGCAAATGAGGTCAGGGCGCTTCTTGTGGATTTAATTTTTAATTGAGTGGAATGTGGTTGAGATACAATATATACACCAAATTCCAAGAAGGGTTGAAGAAATCAATTGTCATATTAATAGTGTGACATATTTTAAAAGTTTTGCCAATACTGGAAAGCGAAAACAGCTGTCTTCGTGTTTCTTTTCTCCATTCATTTGTTTCCACAAGGTAAGGCTCCTTGATTCTTTTAGGCTAATCTCCTAGGATCTCCTCAGGACCCCCATCTTTGTATCAGTCATAAGACCGCCAGAGGTGTAGGGATGCCTCTCAGTGTGGGAGATGGATATTCTGTAGCAGAATTCCACCGCAGGATAAACAGCTATGCTAGAGACTTTGCTCCTTCCTGGAGATACTTACTTGCTTTCCAGACAGTTGGGGAAAGTCTGTGGCAAAGTGCGGTCTTCCCTTTGCATGGCTTCTCTTTATAGGGTGAGGATGTCGAGAGTGTCTAGAAGGGCCTGGGGTTTGGAGGCAGAGCTGCCCTTCTCTGCCGGACCTTGTGGCTGAGGTGGGACAGCGGAACCTGGCACATCTGACTTGGAACCTCATGGAATGTCTGTGAAAGCAGACAATCAATGTCTACCAGCTTCTTGTGCTACCCTGAGAAATGCCTCTGAATCCAACCTTGCGTGATATTTGTGGGGAGGTTTAAGTTATTTCTCTATCTTTAGAGTTTATTTATCCAGCTTTAGAAGCCCCTAGTGAATTTTCATCCCAAAGTTTAACACATTTGAAATTAGCAATGGCAGTGACTTTGGAGAAACAGGTAAATAAATTTTTCCCTTGGCAGCGGACGCCCGATGGTTTGCCAATGTCTGTACACTTGGGTAATAGAGGAAATCACCGGAGTTATTTTTTGAACTTTACTTCTAGTTCAAAATCAGAATATTAAATCATGGGTGCAAATGGCAAATAAAATTCTTAATCCTTTCCCATAAAAATTGAAACAGCTAGTTTTGCCCTATATAACTTACCTAGGTACCGATATACTAGTAAGTGTATGTGCAGCCGTGTGCACATACATATATTCTAAGACTTGTTTGGAATTGTACTTGGTAGCACGGTAACTGCAAGCCGTGTACAACTGTTTGAATTAGATTAACTAAAATTAAATAAAATTTGAAATGTGGTTTCTCAGCACTGCCAGCTACATTTCAAGTTCTCACTCATGGCCTGTGACCAGTAGCTGTGGTCGCTGCAGCTGAGTAGCACAGATACACGCCATTTTGTCCCTTCCAGAAAGTTCCCTTGTGTGTGACAGGTTTAGAAAATCTGCTGAACCATATTCTCCTCTGGCATTACTTTGACATTTCTAGAAAGTAACCATATATTTCAAAGTATGATAGGTGCTTAGCACAGTCTGTTCTTACTCGGTGTTCTTACACGTGGAAGCTTACTCTCGTGTGCCTATTATTTAAACGATCTCATCTGGAGGGTAATCATTGAATATAAGAGCAATAATAGGGTCTAACATGTCGCTTGATGATGGTGGTGGTGTTGAGAGCAGTAGTGTTGTATTAACAGTAAACTCCACCTTTCGTGTGCTGGCGTGTACTGGCATGTACCTGCCATGCATTCTATGCCAGGAGTTCCTAAAAGGATTCAATAATAAATTTGACTGGAATTTTGACCTTTTACCTACTATCTTAAACTACTCTCCTATGGCACATTGGGAATGGGATTCATGAAGACAACATAGTACCTGGGAGATGCTTGGGATGGCATGAAGAAAGCCTAGAGGAATGTGTTGCCGTGCTCAACTCACAACAGATTACAGCTGTGTTTGAAGAGGGTTCTGACATCAGGGAAGATTAAGCTGATCCAGCAGGTGTTTCCCTGCTAAAATCATATAGAAATGGGAGCTAAGGCCGTAAACGTTGAGATCTGTGAGAAGGAGACCCCACCAGACTCGAGGAGAAAGGAGAAATG